AATGTCACTGCTTGTTATAGATCTATTTAAGTAGTTTCTATTTTCTTAGTTCAATTTTGGTAGGTTAGATGCATCTAGAAATTTATTCATTTCTTCTAGATTTTCCAATTTATTTGAATATAGGTTTTCAAACTATTTCATCATAATACTGTGGATTTCATTGGTATTTGTTGTGATATCCCCTTTTTCATCTCTTATTATTTTGGGGCTTTTCCTTACCTTTTAGTCAGATTGGCTATTGGTTTATAAATCTTATCTCTTCAAAGACCAAATTTTGCTTCGCTGATTCCTTGTATAGTTTTTTATGGTCTGGATTTTATTAATTTTTGCCCTAATCTTTATTATTTTTTTGCATCTACTAATTTTGGGTTTGGCTTCTTCTTGGTTTTCTAGGATCTTGAGGTGAGGTACTAGGCTATTTATTTGAGATCTCACTCATTCTTTTTGATATAGGCAGGTAGCTATAGACTCTCATCAGAAACTTTTGGATTTCCTTCCCTTTTTCCTCAATGATCCACTGATCATTCAACAATCTGTTGTTCAGTCTTCATGTGTTTGAATATTTCCTGTAGTTTCTTTTGCTGTTGAGTTCTAGTTTTACTACATTATGGTCTGATAGGATACAGGAGTTGTTTCAATTTTATTGTTTTTGCTAAGATTTGCTTTGTGTCCTAAAATATGATCTATTTTAGAGAAAGTTCCATGGGCTGCTGAGAAGAATGTGTATTGTACAGTAGCTGTATGAAATGTTCTGTAGATGTCTGTTAAGTCCACTTGGTCTATAGTTTTATTTAATTCTGAGGATTCTTTGTTGATTTTTTTTTGTCTAGATGACCTATCTATTTGTGACAGTGGGATATTGAAGTCTCCTGTTGTCATTGTGTTAGAATCTATCTGTGTTTTTAAGTTCAATACTGTTTGTTTAAAATTCCTACCTGCTTTTGGGGTTCATTTCCTTGGAAGATCTTTTCCTACCCTTTCATCCTAAGCCAATGTGTGTCTTTGTCAGTGAAGTGCATTTCTTGCAGGCAACAAATGGTCAGTTTTTCCTTTTTAATCCAACTTGTCATTCCATGATGTTTAATTGGAGAATTGAGACCATTAACATTCAGTGTTAATATTGAAAGGTATATAGTAATTCCTGCCATATTATTGTTTTTCTGATGTTTACTTTTCCCCTATTCCTTGTTTGCTAATCTTCTTGGCTAGTGGGATTTATTCTTTCTTGCATTTTTTCTGGCTGCATCTACCTTTATCTGTGGGGAGGATTCCTTTAAGTATTTTCTCCAGTGCTGGTTGGTGGTCATGAATCCCTTTAGTTTTTGTTTACTATGGAAGATTTTTATTTCCCCAATTATGAAGGCTAGTTTTGCTGGATAGAGTAGTCTAGGTTGGCAGGTGTTTTCTTTCTGGGCTTGAGATACATCATTCCATGCTCTCCTTGCATTTAGAGTTTGTGTTGAGAAATATCAGAAGTTATTCTGATGGGTTTGTTGTGACTTGTTGCTTGTCTTTTGAAGTATTAGCTTGTGTTTATCAGGGAAGGTTTTTATTTCTCTTTCAGTTATGAAGGATAGTTTTCTGGATATAGCAATCTAGGTTGGCAGTTATTTTCTTTCAGGGTTTGAAATACATCATTCCATATCCTCTGTGATTTTAGAGTTTCTGTTGAGAAATCTGGTGTTATTAATGAGTTTGATTTCATATGTGAGTTGGTACTTCTCTCTCGTGGCTTTCAATATTCTTTCCTTGTTCTGTGTACTAAATGTATTAACTACAACATGATGTGGGGAAGTTCTTTTCTGGTTTTCTCTGGTGTCATAAAAACCTCCTATACCTGGATGACCAACTCTTTCCCAAGATTTGGAAAAATTTCTGCTATTATTTTATTGAATATGCTTTCTATGCCTTTAACTTGTATCACATCCTTCTTCTATGCCCATAAATTATAGGATTGGTCTTTTTTTGTGTGGCAGTACTGGAGATAGAACTTAGGGCTTCACACCTGCAAGGCTAGCATTCTACCACTTAATGCATGCTCCTAGTTCTTTTTGTTTTTCAGATAGGGTCTCACACTAACTTTGCCTGGGTTGACCTCAAACTGTGATCTTCCTATCTCTTTTTTCCTGAGTAGCTGGGATTACAGAAGTGCACTGTTGTAATTGAGAATTTCGTCTTTTAATAGTGTCCCAGAGGTCTAGTATGTACTGTTCATACTTTCTTATTATTATCTTTATTATTATCTGAATGTTCTAGCTCATCTACAGAGAGAACTGCAATGCAACATTATTTAGCCATAAAAAATGAAATCCTGTCATTAATTACAAAATGGATGAACTTAAAGGACAAGATGCTAAGTGAAATAAACCTGTCACAGAAAGACAAATACCATTTAATGTCCCTTATGTGTGGAAAATACAAGGTCAGTGTCATAGAAGTAGAGAGCAGAATAATGGTTACCAAAGGCTGAGGAGGGAGGATGTAGTGAATTTGGTCAATGGGTAAAAAGTTACAGTTGGTAACTGGTATTCCCTTGTATTTCATCCATTTTACAGTTGGTTCTGGTATTCTATTGCACAATAGGATGACTACAGTTAATAATATTGCACATTTCAAAATAGCTAGAAGAGAGTATTTTGAATGTTTCATTACAAAGTAATAATACATGCTTCAGTGATGGATTCACTAATCACCCAGATTTGATTCTTCTACACTGTACAAATTAAAAATAAAATTTGAAAAACAAAAAAATCTCCAAACCCCCAAATTATGCTAACATTTCACTTTAAATCTTAAAAGCTGATTTAAAACCACAAAATACTCTGGAAGCAATAGGTATAGGCAAGGACTTTCTCAGTAGAATTCCAGCAGCCCAGCAACTAAGAGAAAGGATGGACAAATGGGACTACATGAAATTAAAAAGCTTCTGCACAACAAAAGAAATGGTCTCTAAACTCAAGAGACCACCCACAGAGTGGGAGAAAATATTTGCCAGCTATACATCAGACAAAGAACTGATAACCAGAATATACAGGGAAGTAAAAAAACTAAACTCTCCCAAAATCAATGAACCAATAAAGAAATGAACAACTGAACTAAACAGAACTTTCTCAAAGGAAGAAATTCAAATGACAAAAAAACACATGAGAAAATGCTCACCATCTTTAGCCATAAAGGAAATGCAAATCAAAACTACACTAAGATTCCACCTCACCCCTGTTAGAATAGCCATCATTAGCAACACCACCACCAACAGTTGTTGGTGAGGATGTGGGGAAAAAGGAAACCTCATACACTGCTGGTGGGAATGTAAGCTAGAACAACCACTTTGGAATACATTATGGAGGCTTCTTAAAAAACTAAACATAGATCTGCCATATGATCCAGCAATATCACTCCTAGGGATATACCCAAAAGACTGTGACACAGGTTACTCCAGAGGCACCTGCACACCATGTTTATTGCAGCACTTTTCACAATAGCCAAGTTATGGAAACAGCCAAGATGCCCCACCACTGACGAACAGATTAAGAAAATGTGGTATTTATACACAATGGAATTTTACTCAGCCACAAAGAAGAATTAAATTTTGTCATTCGCAAGTAAATGGATGGAACTGGAGAACATCAGCTTAAGTGAAGTTAGCCAGGCTCAAAAGGCCAAAAATTGCATGTTCTCCCTCATATGCAGATTATAGACCTAAAACAAATGCAGTAATATTATTGGACATGGGTCACACACTAAGGGGAGACTGTGCATGGGAGGAATAGGGAAAGGGAAGAAAACCTAAAACTTGAATGTGGTTGATGTGCCCACCGCAGAGGAGCAAACATAGTAATTGTAAACTGGCAGAGGCCACTATGAGAAGGTAACCAGGAAGTAGTGAAAAGGTCTGGTAGAGATGAATCAATTTGGGTTGTAATACACATGTGCATGGAAGCAATGCTAGGAATCTCTCTGTATAGCTATCTTTATCTCAAACTAGCAAAAACACTAAGTCTTTCATATTATCTCTTATGTTTTCTCTTCGACAAAATTGGATATAGGAGGGTGGAACAGGTTCTGCCTGGCCGTGGGGGGTGGGGGAGGAGGAGGGAGGAGGTGGCACAAGCAATGTATACACATGGGGATAAATGTAAAAATGATAAAAAAGATGAAATTTTGATTATAGTTCTATTAAAACTCTTTCATCAGCATTTTAAAAATTCAATCATATATACTCTATACATATTTTGTTAGATTCATAATAAGTATTTAAATTTCTTTGAAGAAATCAAAATTGCCATTTTCCACTTTAGTTTCTGGATATTCATTCTAAATGTATCCTGCCACTTTAGTGCACTAGCTTATTAATTCTAGCACCTTCATTGCATATTACTTCAGATAGTGGACAGTCATGTATTTGCAAGTAGTTATATATTTTCCTTTCCAATATGCATTTAAAATTTTTTCTTGCCTTATTGTAATGACTGTAACTTTCAAAACTATGTTATAAATGAGAGTAGTGAGCGTGGATGTTAAATAAGAGTGGTGAAGCTTGACATGGTAGTATACATCTGTAATATCAGAACTCAGGAGGTAGATGCAGGAGGACAGTGGGTTCCAGGTCGGCCTGGGTTACATAGTTTGAGGACAACCCAGGATACATAGTGAGACCCTATCTCAAACAAAACAAAACAAGAATGGTGATAGGAGACACCCTTGCCTTAGAAAGTACTCAGTTTCAACACTAAGTATGATGTTAGCCGTGAAGAGAAAAACAAAAGGTTCTTCAAAATGCTTCCAAAGCAAGGGGGAAAACTGACTGAAAAATACCCTGGCTCGAGGCTTGGCTCAAGTGGTAGAATGCTTGCCTAGCAAGTGCTAGATCATGAATTCAAACCCCAGTACCACAAAAAATAAAAAGAATAACCTGTTTGGAAAGGACCAAAACATTGTTCAGAAAATAATCATTCTTTAGAAGAAAACCACAAAGAAGAACAAGTCTCATGTCCACTTACAGGTGAAAGAAAGTATGGTCTCATCTAGATGAATGGTCTTTGGTCTGATACATAGATCCACACTGGCAGTGTCCAAGCTGCGCTGGTGAGTCTTAGAATTGTAGCAAGATGCTGAGCGACAGTGATCTCGAAGCCAGACATAATCAAAGCGCATCACAGTATTAGCATAGTTCAGTTCTAGGAAAAACATCACATTCATCAGAAATTTTTTTTAGAAAAACTAAACAAAATCAGCAGTCAGAAAACTGCCTTCTAAAAGACTTCTACCAAGAGATCAAAACAATAAAGAGTAGTCCCTTGACAGTTTTTAAAACACACTAATACAACTTCTATGATTAAAATTGTTGATGACATAGGAATAGATAAAGCAATGGAAACGAGTAAAAAGCCCAGAAATATACCTAAATGGGGAGGGTATCCAGGATGTCCTTGTCCTATTCTAGAAACTCTTATGGTAGGTTAAAGCTACACCAAAATTAAAAGTTATAAATTGGACACCACTGGGTCACATCAGACTGCCCGGGAGGCTGAGATTGGGACGATTGTAGTTCAAGGCCAGCTCAGGCAAAAATTTCTAGACCCTATCTCAACAAGTGCATGCCTGTCATTCCAAGGTACACAGAAGGCCTGAGATCAAGAGGATGGTGATTCCAGGTCAGTCCAAGTAGAACAAAATTTGTAAGATCCTATCTCCACAGTAAAAAGCTGAGCATGGTGGCACACACATATCATCCCAGCAATGACGGTAAGTATAAATAGGAAGATTGTGGTCCAGGCCAGCATGGGCAAAAAACAAGATCCTACTCCAAAATAACAAGAGCAAAAGGGGCTGAAGGTGTGCCCAAGTGGTAAAGCACCTGCTTTGTAAGCACAAAGCCTTGAGTTCTAACCCCAGTAGTGCTAAAAAAAGGTTCAAAAAAATCAAACAATTTCCTATAAATCTGCTCACTTTTAGAAAAAGGAAATAAAAATGAAATCAAATTTATAAAAGCAACAAAAACTACAGTGTCTGGGAATAAACAAAAACGTGGAGGAGTGCCATGGAGAAATCCATAAAATTATTTTAACTGGAATGGATAAGTACCATGTTCACAGATAGGCAATTTCAATAATGAAAAGACAGAAATTCTCCTACAAATTAGTACACAAATTCCAGGGAATTACAATCAACCATCCTTGTGAAATTTTCACGTACTGAACAAGCTAATTCCAAAATTCATATCGAGAAGTAATAGAGTAGCAATTTTTAAAGGAAGAATGTATGAGGGCTGGCAGAGTGGCTCAAGAGGTAGAGCACCTGCCTAGGAAGCGTGAGGCCCTGAGTTCAAACCCTGGGACTGCCAATAAAAAGAATGTATAGAGATCAGATATAAAAATATATTATAAAACCATACATTTTATTTATTTATTGGCAGTACTGGGGTTTGAACTCAGGGCCTCATGCTTGCTAGGCAGGTACTCTACCATGTGAGGCACTCCACCAGCCCTCAAACCATACATTTTAAAGTATGGTTTCAGTACAGAATAAATAGTACATCAAGGAACAGAATGGCATTCAATGTAGACCAACAAACACATGGAAATATGGTATATGAAAAAGGTGGCATTTCACAACAGTGAAGAAAGACAGACTCCTCACTAACAGATGGTATTGGAAAATGAATATTTTAAATAATAAATTCTGTCTTTATACCATTTATAAGAGCAAATTTACAACAGATTAAAATATAAAAATTATATATTGACCACTTTGAGATAGGAAAGACTTTAAATATTATACAAAAGCAAAAAAGATAAAATCTTTTTATTTTGTAAGCAAAAGAAAAACAACCTTGAAAGACAATTACCAGGAAAATTATTTGCAACATAAAAGGATTAATTTCAAGGATATAGAATAAAACCCTGCGAGCATTATGATAAAAACCAAATAGGCTCTGGGTGTGGCTCAATTGTAGAATGCTAGACTAGCATGTGTGAGGTCCTGGGTTCAATCCCCAGAACAAAGTAAAGTAAAATATAATAAAAACCAACAAAAATGGGTGAAGGATATCAACAGGAAAATCACTAGAACTGACCAGTAAACACATGAACTCTCTCTTAATAGTAGTCAAAATAATGTACATCAAAATCAAACTGGGGTACCATTTTATATCCTTCAGAACAACAAAATTTTAGAAGTTTGATTAAGGTGAGTGTTTTCAAGGATGTGGGAAAAATATGTCCTAAGAAATACTGGTTGTTGCAGTACAAAATTTCAAAGCCACACTGGATGGAAATTTGGAATTTTCTATGAAAATAATTTAAAATAAGTATATTTGTTGTTGGTGCAGAAATTCACCTCTACCTGGTGGAGTGGCTCAAGCAGTAGAATGCATGCCTAGCAAGTGTGAGGCTGAGTTCAAACCCCAGTGCCAACAACAACAAAAAAGAAATTCACCTTGAATATATTTGTCTCATAGAAACTGTTATACATGTGGAAATGTATGCAAGGGCATTTATAATACTGTTGCTTATTATTTTAAAAATAGAAAATAAGGCAAAATATTTAACAGTGGGGGAAGTGGAGGAAAAGCTGAATAAACTAAGGCTCATTCACATTTTGAGAATGTAAACAAAAAATATTGTACCTGTACTACTAGCCTTGGAGAAGTGACCCTCTCTTTGCTATTTAATGTGCCTCTTTATCTCAGAAAATCTTCCTTCTTCCAAAGATTGTTTTGTCTGAAATTAATACAGATATTACTATTTTCATAAGTGTTCACATGGTGCTTCATTCTTCATCCCTCAACTTTTAACAACTTCTGATTCCTTTCTCATTGTGTGGGAAAAGAATCAGAAAATCAGTGGAGGCTGGGACCAAGTGGTAGAGTGCCTGTCTAGCAAGTTCGAGGCCCTGAGTTCAAACCCCAGTATTACCACCCCCCCAAAATTAGTGGACTATAAATGCATGAATTTTTATCAACGTGTCTATTTTTATAGCAGTATCATGATGTTTTAGTTCCTATTGCTTTGTGATATATTTTGGAATTAGGTTAAGTTAGATACTATGATGCTTCTATTTTTGCTCTTTCTGGTCAAGATTGTTTTGGCTGTTTGGGGGTCTGAAGTTGAAAGCTTTTCCTCTAAGAATAGAAATTAACACAAGGATGTCACATTTGGAATTTCTATTTGACATAGGACTAGAAGTCTTAGCCACAGTAATTAGGCAAGAGAAAAATGAAAGGCATGATTTTACATATAGAAAACCATAAAGAGCCTACCAAAATCCTGATAAAATAAATGAATTTAGTAGTTGCAGGATACAAAATCAGCATACTAAAAAGTAGTATCATTTCTATACACTAATAATAAACTATTAATCTCATTTGTATTAGCCACAAAACTAAAATACTTAGGAATAAAATTAACCAATGGAGTAAAAGACATGCACTTTAAGCTATAAAATATAGATGAAAGAACTTGAGGCTGGGAGTGGTGGCTCATGTCCATAATCCCTGCTATTTGGGAGGTGGAGATCGGGAGGACCACAGTTTGAGGCTAGCTCAGGGGAAAACTTAGCAACAACTCTTCTCAATTAATAAGCCAGGGTGGTGGTGTGTGCCTGTAATCCTAGCTACCTGGGATGTGGAGGTAGGAAGATCATGGTCTGAGGCCAACTGCAGGCAAAAATGTGAGACCCTACTTGAAAAATAACTAAAGCAAAAAAGGGATGGGGGTGTGACTCAAGTGTTAGAGAATATGTCTAGCAAGCACAAGGCCCTCAGTTCAAACCCTAATACAACCAAAAAAGCGAAAGAAACTCAATAAGAGAGAAATAAATGAAGAGATATTCTATGTTAGACTGCAAAAATTAATATTGTTAAAATGTCCATACTACTGCAAGTGACCTACAGATTTTCTGTAATTCTTTTCAAAATTCCAATGAAAATCTTCACAGAAATAGAAAAAAATCCTAAAGTCTTGACTGATAATTTGTTGCATATGTAATCAAGTTAAAATGAAGTCTCAGCAGATTAGGGTGGGCCCTAAATGCAATGACTGGTATTTGTTTAAGGAGATAAAGATTTAAAGATACAGAGGCGACAGGTGGGGAAGGCTATGTGAAGGCAGAACAGAGATTGAAGTGACGCTACCACAAGCAAAATAATGCTGAGAATTTCTGGCCACCCAGAGAAACTGTGAGAGGTAAGGAAGGATTGTCTTCTAGAGCCTTTGGCAGGGAGTGCAGCCCCATCGACACTATGATTTCACACTTTTGGCATCCAGAACTGTGAGAGAACCAATTTCTGTTGTTTTGAGCTACCCAGTTTATACAAATTGTTATAGAAGCCCTGGGAATCTCATTCGGGGTAAACTAACCAGATCTCTTGCCACATAATACCTGCTTGTTATATTCCTTGTCTATGTGTTCGAAACTCTCCTGCACATTGAGGTGTTTTTTCTTTTTCTTTCTTTCTTTTCTTAGGTGATAAAGGGAGATGGAATTTGGCTGGAGCAAGGTAAAGTTCCCCACCCCTAGGATTTGGAACTTCACTGTTACCTTGTATGCAGTTCTTTTGGGGGTTTCATTTTCTAGGCTCTACCAATTGAGACATGCCCCAGCCCTTTTTGATTTAGTTATTTTTAGAATAAGGTCTCATGTTTTTTTGCCTTAGCCAGCCTAGACTGTGATCCTCCTATTCATCCCTCCCATGTAGCTGGGATGACAGTTGCACCACCACACCCAGTTTATTGGTTGAGATGGGTCTTATCAACTTTTTGCCTGGGCTGGACTCAAATCATGATCCTCCTGATCTCTGTCTTCCAAGTAGATGGGATTATAGATGTGAGTTACTGTACCTGACCTGTTGCCTTGTACTATTTTTGTCTTTCTTGTTACTTCTAGGATAATCTTGGAAATAAATGGCTAGAAGTCTTATCAACTCTACAGAAATTATTTTCAGGCCCCACAAAAAGTACATGCTACACAACAAAACAAATATACTTAATGCTACTGAATTTTACATTTAAAGGTTTAATATGGTAAATTTTATGTTATTGACATTTTAAAGAAATTTTTTTGTGGCACTATGGTTTGAACTCAGGGCTTCATGCTTGCTAGGCAGATGCTCTACCACTTGAGCCACCCTTTTAGTCCTATGTTATGGATTTTTATCACGACTTTTAAAAAATATCTGTCCCTACATATATCTTACCAAAATGATCTCCATGTTGTTGCCAAGCACAGTTCAGAGATTTGGAGGCTGTATGGTGCCAATGGATGGCTAATGGAAATAAGTTTTTGAAGTTGAGCTGCTCAGGAACTTGACATATGACTCTTCCTTTCAGCAAACTGTGAAATCTGCTTTGTAGGTGGGACAACCTGTGGCACCACATCCTAGAAAACAGGACAATAGCAAGAGAAAGTAACAATGTAAGACACAGGAATAACACTAGAGTTAACTATGTAAAATAATTGGTTTAATTTTCTCAATTAGACAAAGGAGAAATTCTAAAAGCATAGTATCATTTATTTTTTTCCCCAGTACTGGGGATTGAACTCAAGACCCTTCTGCAAGTGCTCTTCCACTTGAGCCACACACCTAGTCCTTTTGCTTTTTAATTTGTTTTTAGATAGTGTCTTTTATTAACTTTGCCTGGGCTCTCTTTGAACTGTGATCCTCCTGTCTCCTCCCTCGGAGTAGTTTGGATTATGGATGTGTGCCACCCGCCTGGCTTGAAAAGCATAGTATCTTAAAATAAATTTTAATTTGCCTATAAGAAAAAAGGGAGGAAGCCATGT